GCCAGGAGCCCCTAGTAGCGTCCTTATGCGTCCTTGCTCCTAGTAGTAAGGCCAGGAGCCCCTAGTAGCATTCAACATCATTTGACTCTTCCTGATTTCAACCTGGACACATTGCGAGTGCTACTTTTGTTGTCAAGAGACTGCGTTGGCAGACAATGGATTCCAAAATATGTCGCATGCCATCTGGCCTCAGCTGAGAGGGGGAACTTGGGGGAAAGAGTGGGAAAAACACGTGCAAAATCAGGTTGGAAGCTATCGCTACTAGGTCGGAGGCCACTGCTATTACTATAAGTCAAAATAAAGTGTTTTGTTTAATTTACTTGTTTTTAGACAAACAAAAATAAGGTCCCTTGATGTCCCTTTTCAGGATTGAGTCAAGGTCTGTACGTAGCCTGAATGTAAGAGCACAGTGGCTTAGCTTGTTAAGCAGTACTCAGCAGACTCGAGAGCACTGCACCCTAGTCACGGTGAGATAGGGTAAGTTCGGTGCCCCTTCTTGAAGCAAGCTCTCACGCCAGAACGTCAATAGACTATACAATACTATGTCAAGTTCAACAAACATCCGCTTTGACACATCTCAAGCAGTGTGCCTGTCAAATTCTCCAAGTTGCGCCTGTTTCTGCAAATGTTTTTCCCGTTGTTGCCACTCTGCTGGAATGGATTTGGGAAATTGTTCCCGCCGTGGCCGGTCTGCTGGAACGGATTTGGGAAATTGAAAGGATTTCCACGGTTGCTGTCCTGGCTGTCCTTGGCTCAATGCTTCCAAAGCAAACAAGCAAAGTAGCCAGAAATGAGACTTGCCAACAACACGGAAAGGTGTCGCCAGTGACTTGTTGCACGGGGGTTGCAAAGCAAAACTGGATTAGCCAATGTAATGGAATCGTCTAGTTTACACCTGCTCACAAGATGTTTTTCCAGGGAGGAGCCATTGCGAGGGTTCTCATGCCGAGATGATGTGCAGCTCAACTGACACATTCTTCAGACGGAGAGAAAGTTATCTGGCTATCACTATCACCTGAAAGCAGAGTAGAACATTAGAGCTTGATTGCTGCAGAACTCCCGATAGCAAGCACCGGATTTGGTCAAATTGACTCGCAAGAAGGACCCATTCCTCGTTGGCTAGGACACTTGCCGAGTCTCAGTCTTCTCCAAGTGCTGCAAGAGAGAAGCCCCCTGTGCTTGGATTTGTGGGACGAAGTAAGTAGCTACTATGAAGCTTTTACGACTCAGCGATGGCCTCCAACCTATATAATAGGAATGGCCTCCAATCTACAAGCGATGGCCTCCACCCTACTAGCAATGGCCTCCAACCTACAAGCGCTATCTACTAATAGGTACGTAACACGATATATTATGTCGACATCATGTGCTATCCGTCGACCCTCGTATCAGCTCACTGTGGGGGAAGGTAGCAGCATATCTTCTCAACAGTGTGGAAAGCATCACCTTCCAAAAAGAGGATGCAAAATTAGACATGTTTTCAAAGGACGCTCTAATTTGGAGCTTCTTCCTTGTTCATACCGCTCGCCTCCGAGTCGCAATCCTCGGCCGCCGCAAGGGCCAGGAAAGGCAGCATCCAGCGGAAAGTCATTGGCCTTGGCAGAACTCACAGCAGGTCATGTAAAAATTAAGGTCATCTGATCTGGAAATGGGTGTGTATTTAACTAGAGAGACACCCAACCATTGTGTGTTGGTATAATGTCCCTTCTTCCAGTGGGTCTTTAATATACTACCCTACCCAATTGGTGTATAGCCGAAAGAGGTCCTTTTTCTACACAACATCTCACTATGAGTTCCTCTTCCCAGTGACAGCATGTGACAGCAGGGTACAGGGTACGACAACTTGCCCTGTCAAGCCAAGCTGCACAGTATCAAATAGTTAGATCGTCTAGCAAAACTAGTCAGTTAATTGAAGCCAAAAGCTGCGCGCAAAGGCCAGAATTGAAGAAGGAGTCGCCAGATTGTGTTCCACTTGTGCTTACGCAAATGTTCCTACCAACATTCACCACCTCTTGCCAAATGTTCCATCCGATCGCCTTGACCACTTGAGCGAAAGGAAGGGAGCAGCAAGGCTGTAACAAAGCCACCGGCTTAGAACCTCCAAACGGCTCTAACAAGAGCCACCAATTCCTCCGGCTCTGCCTGGTGCCCAGCCACAATGCAGGACCGCCTGAAGGGGAAGAAAATGTTTGAGAACCTCAACGATTTGTTTCTCCAACTCGTGAACCAGGCTGAACCATCTGGAACAACTAACATTGTTCATCAGATCATGCCACCTTTGCTTGGATACGCCATGATACCCCCCTATCACTTCCATGAAGGAGCTTGCAGAAATGGCATGCTGAGCAAGACATGTATGGAAAGGACACTGCACCTTCATCGCCGTCCTGCGGTCTTCTACACTGCTTTGCACAGTCCTGCAACAAAGAGGGCAAATGAAAGTTGCAAATGAGGCAAGGCCCAGAGTTCCAGTGAGCCTACAATAACTAAAAAAACATCAAGACCGATCAAAACTGCTGCCTACGAAGCTGCTTTGAAGACCACCTCAAAAATCAACCTCTTTCTCAAGTAAGCAAAAACATTAATCCTTCAATTATGAAATAACATATATATATATACATATAAGTACTAGTACTATAGTACTATCCAAAACAATGCTGCAAGCTTCGGCCAGTCGCTCTCCTCCGCATAGGCACGCTGCGCACGGCACCAAAGGCCACCCATAGGACCCATCGGGCCTCCTCCGCCGTCGGTGCGAAACGTCAAGCATCGGTACATCACATACATCACCTGAGGTATGAACGAGGACGTCACGGATCTGCAATTTAAAAATTTAGTTTGATGACATGTATAGACTAGATCTTCCTTTCGACATAAGACTTTAGACTCCTAATTTGAAGGTCTAAATTATATACTCGAATCGTTGACACGTCGGAATTCCAATGAATTCCATATCTACACTTAGCGCGCTTAGCGCTAGACTGTGGCATGCCCGGTGGCCTTGTGTCAGTGGAATATACAGGCACTCCAGAGCATGCAACAGAACTGCGGTTCTGTTTCTATGAGCCTGGATCCGACTGGATCTATCGACACTTGCAGTGCAATGCCCGGCCCAACAGATCCTGCCTCTCTGCACCTGCAAAAGCCAGCAGCACGGAAAACACATGTTCCGGGGGATGCATTCTGTCCAATCGCAACGACTGGGTCAATCTCCCTCCTTCGGGAAACTGGAACGAGAAAAACTAAGTGAAAATGAACCAACCTGGCATCAATTGTTGAGTCAGATTTAGTCATTTGGTCCAGACTTGGAACCCAAATCTCTGCGATGTTTTTTGCATGTTGTCTGGGATGCCTGCAAACTTGGGTAGTTGTCAAACAAGAAAAGGGCTTCACACATCTTCTCACTTCCTGTGTCCAAGAACCCACACCCATGACTATTCCACGAACGTCGACATTAGCTAGGAATATGGTGAATGAAATGCCACGAACCTCCACGGTCAAACGGGATCTACATTGGTCCCCCAAAATTGAGCGCCAAACGAGTGAGCCACGCATCTCGTTGATTTCCTGAACGTAGAACCCAACGAGCATTGAAAGGATGTAGGGTCCGTAGGGTGGTCGAAAATCAAGGCAAGAGGCAAACCCTACGTTTTTCTTATCAACTATCTTTCAATATAGGCAGGAGCCTTTAACCTTATGGCCGTTACAGTTGGGTACAAAACCAGTCCATCCATCTGGGTCTACACGTAGAGCGCATCTTGGGGATGCCAGAACTGGGCTCCCGTGCACCAAATGGACAGAGTAAATAAACATTTATTGACGCACTGTTCTATGTTGGAGCCACTATCACGCACTAGCTGTCACCCAAGATGGTAGACACCCCAATTCCCAAACTCCTTTCGTCATCTCGTCCATCACAACTGGCAAAAGCCATGCAAAACCTTTTAATTAGCCTAATTCAGCCTGGGCATCTGGATCTGCCTGCTATTCGGCCTTTCCCACGTGCTCCAATGGGATTCCTCACCATCCTAGCCTATTTGTACGTAGCATTCTTTAAACAAAAACTCCGCTGGACACCGGGACGATCCAGGACGTCTTCTCCTAGACGCCGGGCCTCTGTGAGCTCCTGCCGACTGGGCAGCGGCAGCTCCGGCTCCGAGTCTGAGCGTGGCGCCTCCAGCGCCTGACGGAGGGGGCTTATGATAATTGAAACATGACGGGAACTGCAAACGTGGAGTAGTTCAGGTAATTATCTGTAACAGGATATCATAATATCGGTCATTAGTATGTAGAGATATTCGATAGTTGGTTCTTCTTCCAAAACCATTTACCCCAGAAGTCCAAAGACTATTTTTGCGACCACCCAAGTAAATGAGCTTCCTTTTCCGGTCACCCAAAGACCATCTGTTTAATCTCAATACTCTTGGACTTCCTGGGTTTACATATATATATATAATACATATGTTGTTTTCATTTTTTAAAAAGATGCTTATAGATGCTTATAGTATAACTATAACTATAACTGAGTGCCCATCGTCATTCTTGAAAATGAGAAAGGACACAAACAGCAAGATGTGTAATCTTTCAAATCGTTCTCTGATCGAAAACACTCTCAGCCTCAAGACCTTCCATTATCTCGCCTCGACTCTTACATCTTGGCGACCCTCCGAGGGCGCCGTCTTCTCCGAAGTGGTTGACGAATCCACCTGCCAACCCAGCCAAGGTCGCATTCATGAGCCGGGCTTTTGGTTCAGATGCTGTTCTTCTATGTTCTTTTTCCTGAGCTCTTCCACGTTAAATGACCAAGTCTTTTCAGGTAAACCCGATCTTGTTCTGCCAAACTCTTGCTTGGACCGACAAAACGGCCACCTCTCTTACTCTTGGTCTTCCGTGAACTTGTGGGGTTGCTCAGAAAACACATGCATCTGTTGCATCATATTGCATCTAGAGAACTTCATCCACCCCTCATTCAGACCACCTCTCAAATGTTCTGTTCATGAATGATCCCCTATTCATCTATTCAAAAAAGAGTCTCCATATTCCTCCACCGAAAGGACATTACTAGTAGCGTCCTTGCTCCTAGTAGCGATGTCCTCTTGTTCCTAGTAGTAATGCCAGGAGCTACGCTCGTAGCGTCCTTGCTCCAAAACATACCAAAGCCTGTTTCGACTTCCGACGCTCGATGAGATCGATCCGTCCCACCTCGCTGGGTGCGCGCGGCTCGCTGACGCAGTTGGAGCTCGTGGGCGGGGCCTGCAGGCTGAGTGCTCCGGTAGAAGCAGTGAAGGAGACAGTTGATGACAAGTCAACATGTTTTTTTGCTGTCTACATCTGTTTTCACAGGTCTACATCTGTTCATTTTTGTGGGAGGCATCACCCTAGGATTTGCACCAGTCGTTTGATGCTTGATCTGTGGACTCAGGCACGTTAAAAGAAGAAAACAAAGAGACATGAACAATGATGGTAAGGCCGCCCCTTTCAGATTTCAAGGGAGCCTTACCTTCCTCTGTTTTCAGGTCCTTGTTGTCTTCTTTTACGTTTCATCGGTTTGACTCTATGATTGTTGATTCTGCAACCCCGGTGCTCTGGCGCGCAGCCTCTGAGATTGCAGCTTCGACTTCAGCATCCTGAGGCATTTTCCAAGCGTTTCGAAGGCTCGGAGCGCTCTGGAGTCAGTGAAGATGGTCATCGGCTCGATCCAGCAAGAGGATTCCTTGCCGCCCTGGGCCGTCCTAGCTGTGGAAGCGAGGTGTCCATAGGTGTCCCACAGAATAGAAACAGCAAGGAAAACAGGGATGATGACGGATGATGAAAGGTGAAGAATGATGAAAGCGTCTTCAGAAAATACATGGAAGTGTTCCCTATGGTTCCCCGATTCAGTCACTGGTGGCACCTTTCCACAGCTTTCCTTAGGAAACACCTTGCAGGTCCTGCGAATCCTGCAATGGTACTTTCGTTTCATGGAACCAAACACCATCAATCCCTGTGAGGAAGAGAAGGAGGAGAAGAAGAAGTGCTGAACTTTGCACATCGACTATATATATATTACGATGCAAAGCGTTTTCATCCACCAGCCCCTGCCTCCAGATTTTTCGGCTCCTGTCCAACTTGCTCTGGATCTTGCATCAAAGCAACGGATAGAGTCTTATCTCCAAACTCAACCTACTGCAATGAGGGAAGGAGGAAAGCAAATGAACATGAAGGCAAACATGTCTAAATAGACAAGAAACAAAAAACAAACAACGAAGTTCAACGAAGAACATGTTCCTCCATGCTCTTCTCCAGCGCATCACAGCTCTCCGCCCGCGTGGGTGATGTGGCGTCGGACCGCTGCCGTGTGGAGAGAGGTGGTGAGCAAAGGGCGTCCAAACCTCACCGAGGAAGGCAGGGAACGCAGGGAAGGGATGGGAATGCCACGTCACATATATACATATATATAGATAATTGTATGTTTGTACTGTGTTGTTCTTGTTGTTATATTTTTTGTTGCTTGAAAACTGCCACTCTTTCTAACTGGTTTGGCCGAGAAGGGGTACTAGAAAAAGCACATGCTTGGGGACAAAGTGCTCTTCTTCCATCTTTTGACTGTTATGAGATGTTATGAGCATGTTTTCCGGGCGAGTTCCTTCCAACAGGCCTCGCCGGCCTGCGATGCTTGGGTGAGTCGGCTAGGAACCAAACAAAAGGATGGTGTATGATGGTGCACGATCGGGCGGAGCACTTTTGGTAGTGAAATGCTCTGAGATCCGACAGTGTGTCCATATACTTCGGCCGTAGCGGCTTAACTGAAAGGAACAACCCAGTGATGTGTTTGGGTGTGCTTGGGTGCTTTGTGTCTTAAGACTGGCTTTGGGCCCTTCAGAACAAAGCTAGCTTTATTATTCAATATGTGTTCTGTTTTGCCCGTGGGATTTCACGCCTCACGTCTTTATGCTGCGAGTGATACCCAACTCCACTAGAATCGTATCAGCTCCAACTTCTAACCCACCCAAAATCCACATCATGCTGCAGGACACCAGCACACGTGTCAAATTCAGGAAACCCAAATCTCGTGGCAAAATTTGTCCACACATATGAAGACCATTGAAGACCCATTGACCGCAGCCAGCTTTCTTTCAAATCCAAGGTGCAGGGCTTCTCTGCTTCCGCTCGCTGCGGCTCCGGCGTTGGACTCTTGGGTCCGGCCATCCTGACCAGATCGAATCGGTGAACGGCCACATGTGGAGAGTCTCAAACCCTAACTGCCAAGGGCCCAGGAACTCCTTGGTGAGATTTTGGGCTAATTTGGTTTGTAGCAAATATTTGCGTGCATGCTTCTGTCTGGACTCCATCCATCAACAACACCCTGCGTACAACGTCTATCAGACATCAGTTTATCACTTTGAAATCCATAATCCCATCGATGGTCACCTTTGGGGGATTCTCGTGCAATCTTTCTTCTTTCGTCTGCATCGGAAGAATTTGTGGGAAAGGCTGGCGGTCCAAATACGAAAGTTCACTACCTCTGACCCACTAATTACGCAAAACTATCAAAAGCCGACTTCACATATACGAGTACCAGATCAAATAGAATCCGTCTACATCCTTCCGTCTACTGTATATTATGGACTATGTACATTGAGCCACGTCATCCTACAGATCTTCCCGGCCTGTGCAGTAGCTCTGTCTTCCCTGGCTCGACAGCCACGGAAGAAACTGAGTCGGACCTGCGACGCCCCGAGCGGCGCTTCACCTGCGGTCGGGGCGGTGGTGGTCTTTCATTGTCAAAACAAAGCGACCAAGAAGACTCTGAGAGAAGTGGGAAGAAGACGGAATGAATCAATTCTATCTGAAAGTTTCAGGAAATTAATAATACACAGAAATGACAAGTCTGACTTGATAGATGTTGTGTCCTCACTCAATACTCACAACACAGCTGTTGAGGTGACAAAGCATCCCTCCAAATCTGCACACTTCAATACACACAACTCTTTCAGCAAACCACATCGAGCCTTGGAAGATCGTCTTGCCTGTGAAGATAAACAAGTGCGACAAGCTCGTATACTTGTGCGTCTTTCTCCAAACACCTTAAAACATCCAAATAAGGGTGAGACCGTCCAGGGTGGCAAAAGGAAAGACAGGGAAAATGCAAATACCAAAACATGAGGTGTCTTATTGATCAAGCTGGTTTATTATCTACCAGGCAACAAGCTGTATGTTGGCTATCGAGTGCCCATGCATCAATTGCCAAAAGCACTGTGTGAAAGCCAATGTTCTGATGGTTCAATCCAATACAATCTTGGAGATGGGTCCGATTTCCAAGCTATGCATGGTGTTCCAAAGGATACCCCACCTCTTTTGTGGAAACCTTCAACACCTCAGCCGTCTGACTGCATGAATGCAATTGTTTTTTCAGAACGGGCAGAAGGTCCGTGGATCATGCTTGCCATGCTCTTTGGATCACCAAAAAGAAGCCACACAGACTGCAGTCTTCTTTGGGTGGTCACATTTGAAAAGGGATATTGGATGGGTAGCAATGAGTGATACTCATTGATACGCCTATATAATATTTTTGGACGCAAATCTGAGGGAGGAAGCCTTGGAAGGCCGCTTGTCAAGCCGCATGGGAAGTGCTAAACGACTGCACTGAGGATGAGACAGCATCGGCCGTTTTCTCTCCAGTCTCCGTTGCAACTCCTGAGAAAATATTTTAGGTTGGAGGCCATCGCTAATAGACTGGAGGCCATTGCTCTGAGTTGTCTGCTTTGCTCGGCGACATGAACTCACAACTCCCCCAGGATGCCCAAGTTGAATGCTTCGGAATGCTTCAAGTTGACCTGAGTAGCGACTTTAGTTGAACTCTGAGTGGGCCCAATCTGGTGGATTTCTTGAAAACCTGAAGCCTCCACACTCCTTCTGCAGTTTCACACACTATATATGTCATGTTTATATAATCTCATGCATGCCAATTTCCCGCCCTTTTACATGAAAATACAAATGGTTTGTCCTAGACAACAGGATTTTACATCCCCGTAAAATATTATGCAGTATATGTTTTACCTTTGACCCAATGATCAGAACGCGAATGTAGCTTGTGGGAGAGTTGGGCTAGATAGATCCAGTGCAGTCACTATGAGCATGCTAATTCTTAAAAGCATTAGGTTGGAGGCCATAGCTATTAGGGTAGATATAGCTATTAGATGCTATTAGGGTGGATTCCGTAAGCATGCCAATTCTTGAAAGCATCTTTGTGTCTATAAGAACTCTGCATTCGGAAGAGTGATGCAATCACAAATCTGCTCAATCTACGTCATTATGTGCGTCTGAATTTGTTTTTCAGAACCGATCTCTTTCGCAAAATCTTTTCTCGCTCCAGCTATCGGCATCGACTGTCCTAGAGGTGTGTCCTCCGGCTCCAAACGACCATTCTCCTCCAAGCCACGGTCAAACCACCCAAACGCCAAAGAAGGTCCCAAACAGGAAGAAACAACCCTCCCCGGAGAATGGGTGCTCTGGACATCCACTTTATTCGTGGATTTCAACTTCGTAGTCCAAAAATGAGCCCCCATCTCAAAAGACAAGTGTTGCCTGTCTCCCTCTTCATCGCACTACAAACACTTGCAAACATGCAATCTGCTCCCTTCTGAGTTGAGTTTCCTATCGCTTGTGAAAAAAAAGATGGGAAAAATGGACAACTCCACCAAGATAGCTCAGAATCCTGCAGGCGACGGAAAGTGTTTGCTTCTACTATGTTATAGTGATAGCCAGTGACTAGTGTGTGTGTGTGTGTGGGTGTGAGTGTGAGTTAGTCCCGCTATCAAACTGAAGATCAGAAGAACGTCTCCTTTTCTTTTCCTTTCTCTGGGAAGATGTGCTCTAAAACCTCACGGACGATAGGCAGTGATCAGAGGCATGTTTACGTTTGTTTAAATGGCTTGTAGAATCCTACAACTTTGTTCATGCCCCTAGCCTACAACTGGCACCCCCTGTCCGTATTGGTTTGCTCTTAGGTTGGAGGCCATTTCTCTCAGGTATTCATTCAATTCTATCGTACCATTGAACCCTGCTGTTCACCGCTGATGCGTGCCCTATTTGTCTTACCATGTTTGCACTTTCAGGCCCTCCCACATATGACGCTTGCGAATCTTCATGTCCAACCTGAGCAACGTGGAGCGTGCAGTGCTCTCTTGGGAAAGGGGCCTATGGCAGATCTGCAAACATGGAAGCTGTTAACGTGCGAGCTGTCGCGTAGTTCTTTCTTGATGTGCATGTCCGTCCTATTTAATCTCCACGCTGCAAGTGCTGCTTCAATGTCTTGAACCCTTTACCTTTACCACCTTTGCTAGCTAGCTAAAGAAATTTGAAAACATCCGCCTGCCTCCGAAACCATCATCTGTCCAAGTTGTTCCAACCTCCTGCCCTTTGCAGCCACGGTGCAATGATCGCGTCACCGGCTGGCAGCGCCCGAGCGTGGCCCACCTGGCAAGAAGGCACTCTGTAGCTTTGCACTGAGTTCACCAAACGTGATCCAGAGCAATCAAGAATTTGAGAGAGACCTGCAACATCCAGATACAGCGCATAGATGAAAGACACAAACACAGCATTTCCCCTGCTCCCCTTGGGGGCAAACTCAATGTAGTGTCGCCGTACATTGACAGATTAACACAATGGCAGTTTGAGAATTGAACAAGTGCAAGGTAGACAATACCTTTCTTCAGAGTCCAAATTGCGGGCTCCAGAAGACTGCAACCAGCAAACTCCAAAGAATACAGGAGGCAATCCTCCAATCATACTCCAATCATATCTGCTTCCACACGTTGGGTCGACCACCAAGTCAAAAGAGGTGATGTGACGTGATTATCGTGATTAGATCCAAAGCGCATAGTGGGTGTTCGCGGGTTGCAAATGGCGCCCACTCTCAATAAGGTTGATTCTTTAAGATCAGGTTGATGAAAAAGACCAGTCTTCAAGGACCGAGCAGAAAAAATTCAATGCTCGGTCACTCAGTTTAGTCCAGCCAGGCGGCCGTCCAACGCGGCTGAAGTGCACAAAAGACCACAGCTGTGGCAACCTGAGTGGACCCACCCACTCCTGCAGTTGTTCAACATAATTGAGCACAACAGTCACAAATTTGGACGCACTGGAAAAGGGACGACCACTTTCATCAAGAATCTGGCAGGACGACAATAGTCTTGCCCAGTCCTACTTTGCTGAAATTCTGGGTCACCCTGCAGTGCCCTGTACATTCTTCAGCTCCAGATCACGCCTTCATCATTCTCCCAAGAACTGTTGGGAATTTCACAAGCTTTGACACTACGCAAATGTGTGTTTCAGACACAAAGAAAGCACAGAAGAGTGATTGCTTTGTTGCAAAACTGATGGACTCAAACTGAGCTTGTGCCCTGCCATTCATCGCTCAGGTTGAGGTATTTTGGAAATATGTTGAAGCAACTTGCAGGTGCATGAACCTTGTGGCAAGCCTTGTTTATATCATCCTGCAACTTCGATAGCTATGTCTCAGGACTCACTCTAGTATGAGGCATATTTTGACAAAACGTCTGAAGCGACCACACAGTTGCTCATTAACATAGACACAGAAAACGTCTCTTCTGTAGAGGAAAAAGGTCTTGAAACCATCCTGTCCATGTCTATATTGATGACCCGTGGTATATGAGTATTAGCGATTGTTGTTTTCATCCATATCCCGAACACACCCTCACTGCCGTCTCTGGCCTCACGAATTGCTGGTCTTGCGCCAGATGCGCCAATTGACCAAAGTATACTGCCTCGGAAGTCAGGTACGGCTCAACGGGTTACCAGTACTGCCTGAACTAAGTATAAACTGGTGTGCACGAACTCAAATCATGGACAGCACCCTTGAGGATGGCAAGTCGATACATATATATATATATCGCATCAGGTAGGATCTGCCTCCAGGTTGAAAGCATGCAAAAATGAGATTCAAGACATGGTTGTAGTTGTAGCAACCATGAACGCAACAGTGCTATTGTATGAACGCAACTGGGCAACTCTGGGTGCCTACTCACTGAGAAACTGCGGTGCTGTGGTGCGAATTCACTCGGCAAACACCACTGAGTTGCCCTACTAAATGCTCACCCTCAACCTTGGCAAGATGGTAGGCTGGCATCAGGTCACTCGTGCGAGGTGGCATGTAGCAGAAGCAGTCTTACATACTGACTCCTGTTTCTTCCATTAGCCCTACGTTAAATTGACACTTTGCATGAACAGGATTGAACAGTCTCGATATGTCTTGGAGTCTTGGATGTTCATGGTTTCAGCCTTGTGATCCATTTCTCAATGTCCTTGAGTTCCCGGCTGTGGCCACCGTCAATTTGACTTCCACCTCTGCCTACCAACGAGAGGAAACAAAAAAAAGCAATCGCACGGAGTCTCCTCTTGCAAAATAGACCAACAGGCGAGTAGACTCGAAGGTATGAGCAAGCCGTTGTCAACTTAGGTCTCACTTGTTGTGTTGACCCCCAATCTCAACACTTCGGAAAACGTGCATCATAATATGTACAGTAACTGTAGCTCACGTGGTTTTCTGCAATTAGTAAGTAGAAACACCTGTGTGTCTGAAGTTTCTTCAACTGGATGCTTGGGAGTGGAACAAATCTGGCATACCGGGTAAAGCCCTCTGTTACTCTTGATTGATTGGATTCTGCCAACTGTATCGTCCCTTCAGTATCAAAGATTGCAGGAGAACGACAACCTCCAAGAACATGCATGATGGTGGTGCAATGATTTAGAAAAGGATAGAAAGGTGTGGTCCAACCGAGCTGTCAGTCAGAACAAACAAACGAATGCGAAAACCTCCAAAACTCACGAACAAGGCTTGGTGTGACCAAATCAATCACCAAATGTTACTGAGCGACCCACAAAGAAAGCTACCAAGCTAACTGTCCAACTAGGTTGGACGAGCCTCTAGTCTTCCCCATTTCAATGCTGATTATCTCGGTGACCAAATTGGTTTGTCAGTGTCCACAGAACCTGCTCACCCCAAGCATTTAATCTAGCCAGACGTTTTGTGAAACGAGCAAGCCGGCTTTAGACGTGCAAGCTGTGCTGCGCGCACTGCCTGTTTTGGTGAAACTTCACTCAGAAGTCGCAAAGTCCTTGTCCCACCCTGTCTTGGGATCCTTGTAGTCAACCTGTGGTGGCATGTCTTCCTTTTTGGCCGAGAAGTTCGCAATATCCTTTTTGTTCTTAACGTGAGGCTTGTAAGGTGGTGTCAGGGTGAATTTTGCCATTTCGTCCCAGCTAAAGCCTGTAAACCACGGTTGCTTCTTGATGTTTTGCGTGCCACCTTTCTTCATGGCGAGCCTCTCGCTTGGAACTGCGTGACACAGGCCTTTCACTAAGGACTCGATGTTGCCCTTAAGCTTCTTGGGAAAAAGAATTTTGTGAATTCCCTTCTGGACCTTTGCATAAATCTGCATGGGTGTTGTAGACTCAAAGGGCGGATGCCCGGCACACAGTTCGAAGGTCAAAATCCCCAAGGTCCACCAGTCCACGGCCAGGTTGTGCCCTTTGGATGCAATGAGCTCAGGTGCAAAGTAGTCCGGAGTGCCACATGTAGTAAATGTTTTTCCAGGACAAACCTTCGCAAGGCCCATGTCCGTGAGTTTCACATGACCCTGCTCGTTCAAGAGAAGATTCTCTGGTTTCAAATCTCGAAAAATGATCTTCTTGCTATGCAAGTGCTCAAAGGCCAAAACAGTGCCAGCAATATAGAACTTCGCACAGGGCTCCTGTCCCCAAAGGTTTTTCTTGTTGTAGGTGGCATAGAGCTCCCCTCCCAAGGCCAGTTCGAGGAGCAGGTGCAAGGTCTCAGCGGAGTTGAAAGTCTCATAGAGCTTCACAACGAAGGGAGAGTCACACATCAGCTGCACGTTCTTCTCACTGATGACACTGTTTTGCATGCCACTGGTCACAACATAACCTTTGCTCAAGTTCTTCAAGGCATAGGTCTCTCCATTTCCTAGATCTTCCACCAAAAAGACTGCCCCAAAGCCACCACATCCCAGCAAACCCAGTACCTTCAGATCCTTAAAGCGGATGTTTCCAAAGCGCTTTGTATCTCCCGCGCTGGGTGCCACTTGAAGCTTCTTCACAGCACCGGTCCCATCACGGCCACGCTTTTTCAAGTCCTCCAATGAGCCAATGAGAATCTCGAAGGACTCTTTGTCGACCCACAGCATTTTGGCCGATTGCGAGATTACCTTGATGGTGGCAGCTCGAGGCTCATCTCTCTCGAGCGCAAGCTCACCAAAGTAACCTGTGGCCTTTAGGGTGGTGACTTCTTTTCCATCTTTGATCACTGACACCTCACCCTCTACCAAGAGGAAGAACTGTGTCCCGCGTTCCCCTTGTTCAAAGACCAACTCGCCCTTCACAAAGGTCATCTCATGCATTGCTGCCGCAAGTTCCTTCTTCTCAGGCTCTGTCAATGGGTTGAAACAATCACATTTGCTCACATGCTTCAGGTTTTCCTGCGTTTCTCGCTCATTGGCTTTCATGAGCAAATCCTTAAATTGCTGACGAGCAGTCACCCAAACCACCGCATCAGCGGTTGCAGTTATGGTGGCTGCTCGAGGCGCAAAGTACAAAAGCGCCAGCTCCCCGAAACTGCTACCTGCCTCCAGCAACCCAAGTGCTGGGGTGGCTTGGTCAGATGATGCTGTTTCTGCTTTTGACACTTGAAAGCTCCCCGATTGGACCACGTAGAAATAGTCCGCCTGCAGGTCTCCCTCCTTGATGATGGGTTTTCCAATTGGTACTTCCTCCTTCCACATCACATCAACAATAGCATTCACACGGTCAGTGTCCAAAGTTGCAATGGTACTCAAGTTGGCATTCTCCTGCAAGGCCTTGGCAATCAGCTCTCTTTCTGCTGGGGTTTTGCTGCTGGGCTCTTTGATCTCCGCATTGGCCACGGCACCACCCCCCACGGCCCCTCTTTTGCCAAGTTTGTCAACTAATTCCAATTTGGTGTGGAGACCTAAGTTCATGAAGTCCTCCCTGGTGATCATCAAGGCTTTCATGCTTGAGGCTGCAGTGATGGTAGCGGTGCATTGCTCATTCCGCAGCAGTGCGCTCTCCCCAAAGTATTCCCCCGCCTGAAGAGTAGCAACCCTCCGGTTATTGATCTCCACACCCGCTGAGCCTCGTTTGATCACAAACAGTTTCTCTCCTGGGGTGTTCTCCTCGATGATGACCTGGCCTTTCAAATACGAAACCTCAACAGCTGACTTTGCAAGCTCCGGAAGCTCCTCTTCTGGTAACCTTTTGAAGAGTTCTACCTTGGAGAGAAAGAATTGCCGCTCATGACTCGTGCTTCCTGCACAACCCATGGCTTTGGATCACAGAAAAGCCGCGGCCCATGGAAAAATCGCAGTGAAAGCTCTGCGGTTGGGTTGTGCGCAATGGGTTATGCTTCAAAAGATCAAAAGCAAAAAATAGCTAAAGACTGGAATAGCTGAAAGTTACGAAGCAACCCCTGTGCATTGAAACATGTGCGGCTCAACAGGTTGAAAGCGTTCCAAGCTGATCCTCATGAACCTTGGCCTACCTACAAGAAGCTCTAAAACCAGCAATTGGCCGTTGGCCACTTACTTCTGTTTGATCCAAATGTCCCAACGCACGGCCCCAAACAGTGTGAAGCGGTCAGCAAAATGCTTCCCCCTCGGAGGACTACCAAGTAACCCTATGAATTTAAATTAGGTTCTAATTAAATTCTATAGCTTCTTGTTACTACTAGTAAGAATGCTACTATTAGCGATGCCAGGAGCCCCTAGTAGCTTCTTGCTCCTAGTAGTAAGGCACTTGTTTCTACTAGCTTCTTGTTACTACTAGTAAGGCACTTGTTACTAGAAGCGATGCACTTGTTACTAGTAGCTTCTTGTTCCTATGAGATGTGCAGGCCCAAAGGCTCTTCGGCAAAAAGCCTGATGCTCGGCCACCACAAAGGTGCAGAAATCCAAGAGGTATTTCTGCCTGGGAAGCATGCTCGGCTCGAAGACACGTGCCAAAGGAAGGGAAGAGTCATGAAACTGTCATAAGCCATGCGCCATCCAATGGAGGTAAGACATACTTTCATTTTACCATGGTTATCTTACCTGAATTCACCTACCAAAAAACCACCAAATTGAATCAAGCTACTAGTCTAGTAGTAACAGGTGCCTTACTACTAGTAACATGAAGAATTTAATTCCAATTCTCTTTAGATCCTTCACTCATCGAGACGTGTCAACGCGCCGTGCACTGTGTCTCCCGAGCCCTGGCGGTGTCACCGGAAGCCGCGCGGAAGCATGATGAGCGTCGCCCACGTACCAATGACACTGACCTCACGGGAAAACCGATTGAAGACAGGACCAGGCAGTACCGGATGATATCATGCCAAAAGGATCAAGGATCCAAAAGGACCATAAAGAAGCAAATTCTTCAGGCGATGGTTGGTGGTTCAATTGAACGACAATTCACGAATGGTCGGGGATGAAAAAGGATTCTTTGGCAGCAAGCCTGGCTAGCCATAGTAGCCGCTTCAACCATGCAACACTCACGCACCTCTCCCCCGCGGTCTCTTTTTCTAACCTTTTGAACAAAGGGCAGCACACTCTCAGCGAGATGAGAGACTTGTGCGGCACATCTGGTCGTAACCCATGTGCTCTTCCGGCTCCAGCACCGCTCATAGAAGGTTGCGACCGGCACAAAGCCATATCGACCTGAACGCATGCAAAAGGCCAAACGCATTTCTGATCTCATTGACTCATGGCCCGTTCTGTGTGAGAAAAGAGCTGTGTCACCCCACGAAGACCTCTTGTGCTTCTCCGGTGAGCAGCCAAGTCAAGAATGCTCGACACCTTGGTAAGCAGCCAAGTCAAGAATGCTCGACACCTTGCGCTCAGAGGTGACTTTCTAGATGCCAAACATGGCATGTCTCATGACATGTCTAAGACAAGCAAAGGGCCAAAGTTGAAACATGGATCACCACTGTCAAAACGTTCCAATCCAGTTAGCATGCATAAATCAAAACACCTTACTTACTGTATACAGATTCTGGTCAAACATGTAATAACAATTAAAAGCATGTAAACACCGCGTGGTCAGATGGCACCATGAAATTGAATCGCCCTCAACTGCCTTGAACTGCGCCACAAGAACCTCCGTTGATCTCTGACCTGTGCTAGACTGAAATACCCTGGAAAGGAAAAAGCTCCGGTCGATAGGAAGATTGGGCTGGCGTATCAAAACTGCTTTTTAGTCCACACCGTGACCACAGAGAGGTTTCAATTCACAGCTGATTTCAATGTGCCTTCAGCCAGAGGATTGCAGCTGGCCACAAACGACTGGCACAAAGTGTCAACGGACCGCCACCCAGAACCTGAGCAAAAAGCTTCGGCTGCTGAACTCGAAGAGTAAGTTCAGAAAAAGAAAAAGAATCATACAATAGGTGAAACTTTTTGCCCGGCCATTAAATCGAGCATGGTAGTGGTGCTGCCTTCCTCGCAACACAGCAGCACAACGGTAAATCTTGTCGCAAACAAACAACGTTCCGTACTATGGCAACAGGATGGAGAACACTGTAGCAAGGCCAATAGTAAAAGGATCAAACCAAATACTACTACGGTCGTACAGTGACCATGGCCAATCAAACTTTCAAGGATGCAAATAGTTGTATGACTGACCTGACCGCTACGAAACAAAGTTCAATCATTTACATTGACACATTGATTGATCATTACTAACTGATGGTGCGAAGCAAACAGGTTTAGTCCCAGTGTTCCCACAGCTACCTGAACTGCTTTGGAGGTGTATGGACTGCGTTATGATATGTTACGATTGCTCTATTGTCTGCGTGGGTTGCAGGGAGCATTCCCTAGGTTTTCTTCGGGCCTTGCATAAATTCTGGCTCCAAAAACACGCTGTGATGTTCCTGCATTTCATGGATGGACCAGCCCTTCTTGCAGCGGTGATATATTATGAGCCGGTAAACAAACAAACACACCCAGCCAAATCCTCCAAAAAGCAAGCTCCAAGGCTCACATCAGCAAGTGTCTCCATGTCCAAAAGGAAAAAAAACAAAAAAGAACCAAGGGTGTTCCCAGTGATGGTGAAGTGGCTGTTGCTATCTGATGCATTGATCTACAGAATACAATTCTCAAGTCTACGACCAAATATGAGAGATCAATCAAGCAGATTGGAGCAGTGTCTGCCCATAGCAAAGGCAACCAGTTGCCAGCGCATGAGGTTCGGACGCAACGAGCGAGCCAACGCCGATGATGAGTACCATTCCCCAGTCACAGCCTGGCAGGTGGTAAAGTATTGGGGCAATGATCATTGATGATTGATGCACCTAACAACCATCATCAACCATCTATTTAACTTTAAAGTAAACAACCTTTGCAAACCCGCAGAATGGTCATCTATGGTACGATACAAGCGAAATGTGTATTGCAATGCTTCACAATCCCTGGTCTTCTGCTGACCTGTGGACCTCTCTACGTGGCCCCCACTGACCACGGGCAGCGACCACACCTGGCCCAGACTGTTGTAGCTTGGGGCTCTCCTCTTTGAACCTCAGACGGGTATGCGACGACCTACGACCTACGACACATCTGATTAAATCATGTTGTAAATGTTGTGGCGCTGGAAGGCACACGGAACAAAAGAACAGGAACAAAAGAACAGTCTAAATTTTAGTAAGGAGGCTGCTTCTTGTTACTAGTAGCGATGGCCTCCAACCTAATAGCGATGGCCTCCACCTAGTAGCTTCTTGCTACTGGGGTGCTGGAAGGCACACGCTTCTGGGACATTCACTGCCATAGCCGACACATCCGGCATAAAACCCAATTGAACTTGACGAGCAATGGTTGCTAGACCCAGCAAGTATCCTACGAAAGTCAAGAGCAGCCGTTCCAAGAGGTGTTGAGCCAAAGCAAAAAGGTGAAATTGTGATTCTTATGTCTAACGGCACAGTTCTCGTGTTCTTTCGATGTGACACGTTTTTTTGCACCAAGGAACTTCTCCCGTGCCTCACGCATGGTCTTAGCGATGGCCGCCTCGATTTTCAACAAACAATCAGCCCCTCAATTTGCTGTCCCTTACCACTAACATGCTACTGTATTGTGTGCTGTTTGGTTGTCTTCTCTTTTTCTCTGCCTGGCCCGGCCCCTTCTTCTTTTCTTTCCACCTTTTGTATCCTTTGTCGCTTTCCTTTCGCTTCATTTTCTTAGACCTTAGACTCAGACCTTAAGTGACCTTAAGATCTTCCCTTGTCTTTTTTTTGTGATCTTTCTGCCCTTTCTGAATCTTTCAGTCTGTCTGTCTTCCGTTCTCGTCCCCGATCCGGTCAGATGCGGCCAGCCTCCATGGTCTTGGACCTCGGCACCCGTCGTGTGAGCTCCCCTCGTGCCGCATTCAGCCGCTCCTGGGAGAGGAACATCGTCGGTTCGGGTCGGTTGTCACACATGAGATGCTCTACCAGACTCTACCACGTGTTCGGGATGGTCTCCCGACCAAAATACTGATGAGATGCTCTTGCGGAAGTTTGTTCTCATTTTTGAGGGGGGCTATAATGAGAACTCCTCAGTAAACATGCAAGCTGACCGAAGTCAACGAACGTCACTATATCAGTTGCCAATGACCTCGGTCATTCTTGGAACGGCCTCAACTGATCCCCACACGTCTGGATGTGGGTCAAAAGAATATGTCGCTTGAAGCGGCCTCTTGGAATAAAAAGGAAATACAAACTAAGATCTGTTGTTCCAGCCGACCAAAAGACGTGGCTGAAAAGAAAGGACTCCTGGTCGTATTGCTTCCGCTGGGCCGCATCGCTGAGCACCGTGAAGGCTTCTGCCAACTCCTGCAGCATCGAAAAGAGCCATCAAATCTTCGCCGTTCTTGACTGATGTTGAGTGTTTGTGGGGTGCAAAGCTGTTTAAGCCAACAAAGAACGATTGCCGATTGCATCCGATTGCCTATTCTGAAGCTGCTTGGATTTCAGTCCCTATTGATATTAGGACCCTTGACTTTGTCTCAGTTGAAGGAACTCGTTCTGCAAATAATCCTCTCTCCGGCTTCATCTTTATCATTGTCCACGTTCTGCAGCTTGGCAAGCCCGTTTCACATGGATTCAAGAAACCAGCACTATATAGTATAGTTGAATGAATTTGAATCACTTCCAGCTGCTTCTGGCACGATCAATGTCTTGCGGTCCTACCCCCTGGTGAAATTGCCAGAGTCGCGACGTGATGTACTCGCTTGAGTCGTGCTACAGCTTATACTATATACCAATTCCTGTGCCCCTTACTATGAGCTTTCTAAAGACCAAAGTGCAACTGTGTTGTTTGCATTGTCCCAAGACTCTCCTTGAACTTCTCAGCTGCGGCTGCATCACCATCCTTGACAAATGCAACTACATCCAGTGAGAGCGGCTCTCAATGTGTAGTTCGTGCTCTGAAGATTGACATTCGGCGCACATCTACGCTTTCAAAAGCTTGTATGGGCCAAATCTAGCAGATTCTTCTAGCCTGCTTCAGTTTTAATTACCAAAAAGAGATGGAATACACTACGCCCTCAGCCTGCCGAGCATCGTTTTTGTCTGGATGCCACTTCAATGCCAGTTGGCGATACGCCTTCTTAATGGCATCCAAAGGAGCCTCTTGATCAACGCCCAAGACCTGGCAGAGGATCGAAAGCCAAAACGGATGCAGAATCGGAGCTCAATCAGCTGAAACAAAAGAACTTCGGAGCTCCAGGGGTCTGCAAGAGTCTGCTGCAAGAGTCTGCAAGGGCAGTCTGCAAGGGCAGTCTGCAAGGGCAGTCTGCAAGGGCAGTCCATGGTTCTGTCAACTCGACAGGCACAAGGCTGCACTTTGAGTCCCACATATTCCCTCCGATCCTTTGGGCTGCTTGAGGGGGAAGACCGCGATGAAACAAATCCACATTGCAATAGCAGTAGGAGTGCCGGTGATTCAAAGTTTTCTGAAAACCAGACCTCATTGGGGTAAGTTTTCGAACAAAACGTCACGACCCGGCAAGTCTCCCGGCTGCCTTATAGTAGTCCGGCAACTTTGTCTCCATGGCGTGGATGGATGGTCTCTGATAGAGCTAGAAGCTAGAAGGGCATCATAGATCCACGTGAAAGCCATCTTCATTCGCACTATTGGCAACTATTGGCTTCAACTTGACCTTTGCTAAACACCTACTACTGCCCCAAGGTTGGTCAAGGGGTGAGCCGAGCTGGAGTAGTCTTCACATCTCCTCTGTTTGAATGCTGCTCTTTTTCCTACGACTACTATACGGAATTGTAAATTGTAAGCTGCTCCAAACAGCTACCCAACAGCCGCACGCTTCCACGGAACAACACACAAAATGGCAGGCTCGCCAGCTGGCCAAAGCCACATGTCGCTGTAGGTGTGCCAACTGCCCGCCATCCTCCCACGTTCAACGAATGGCATGTCCGTTAGCTCCAGAGAAAACCCCGACGTCAGCCCGGGCGTTTCCCAAAACGGTCCGTCGACCTCGGTGCCCGGACACGAGGCCACGTCCAAGCGTTGGGCAAACTTGAGCCTTGCAGTGGCCGAAACTGACAGTCCTTTGCAATACAGTGGTACCAAGGGTCTTGGTGGATGGTGGGGAAGGGGCATCAGCATGCGAAGTGGATTCTTTCTTGATATCAAGGCTCTTTCGGGCTGGGTATTGCGGAACATCACAGTTTCATTCCGGTTGAATGTCAACGAAGTTGGTGTGAGCAGCAACCCCTGCCAGGGCCCTGGCGTCTCTACGTGTAATACATACAGATGAGCACTCTCGTTGTGAACGATGCCTGGCTTGGGGTGCGAAGCAACAGAAAGAATCATCTATGTATACAAAGGTTTTGAATTATTGTCTACTGTTCACAGAGAGCTCAGCACTCCGTTTAGGCCTTCTGGCACAATAGACAATAGGTGTATTCCAAGAGCACAAAGAGTATGCGAGCTTTGGGGTGAAGTCTGACCTACACCAGCTCATGCTTGCTCATGCTCCAGGCAGAGGGAAGCTCCGTTCCTTGACCTCCTCTCCTCTCTAGCTGCGCAAAGACGTGCAAGCTCGGCCAGACATAGCTGGGGGGTCGTTCTCCTGTTCAACTGCAAATGCTCAGGGATTGTCCCAAAATTCTCAAACTAGCCACGTGGAATTTGGATTGTGGATAAAAGCGCTCTCTTTCTCTGGACCCCAGTACGTAGTATCAAGCTGAAGGGAAAGGCCTACTAGAAGGGTTGTGCAAACGAATGAGCCAAACACGATCAAAGGAATGCCACCTGGAACAAGTCAAACAACCATTGACAAATTTCAGACGACAAGCTCTGGTGGCTCATCAATGATGCTTGCTGCTCTCATTCATTGAGTTGCGCACGTCAGGGCGAATCTTCGCTTTCATGGGGACTCACAACTGAATTCATGCTTGGAATGTTCAGAGCTGTGAGTTGTCCTGAGACTCAGAATGGAAGCTTGACCAGGAGATCTCCACCAATTCTCTGAAAGACATTCAATCGCTCCTTAAAATTGGCAGTGCCAGGTCAATCTCAGCCTACAGGCATCGACCGGGCCAGCGAATCAAGATACGATGTCCAAGCCACAGTGTCCATATCCTTTAATATTGTATAGCAATGTCAGTCATGAATTCTGCTTCCATCCCCTGAAATACATGCCACTTGTGCATAAACGTCACTGGCTAGAAAAATCCAGGGCTACAAATCAGATTTGGTGTGTAGAGATGTGTATAGTGTATTCATGTGTATTCACACCCTCGATGTAATGTCGACCCTCACCTGGCTCGCCATGCTTCGTCGACAAGTGTCGCCATGTTTCGCCCGACCCAAGATGGGAGGTGTGGGCTTGGGAGGTCTGGAGGTTTTGTTTTTGTTAGCTTCTTTGTTACTACTAGTAAGGCACTTGTTACTAGAAGCGATGCACTTTGCTCCTAGTAGCTTCTTGCTACTAGTAAGGCTTGGGAGGTCGGAACTTTCGTTTGACTTATCTGCTATCCATGGGTTGTACTTGGTCCTCGACGTAAGTCCTGCTTCAAAGGAATCCCAAAAAGTGGCCCAGATGACCCACTTGGTAGATGTCCCATGCGCAGACCTAATCGTCCAATCACCGTGGAAACAAGTTGATGTTGCGTGCTCTAGCAGCTTGCCTCAACCTGGTTAGAATATTTAGAATATCAAAGCACTGGCTAACCAAAGTGACACGTAAAAATAACTGAGACCAAACAGTATTGATGTCCGGTGCGTTCCACTGAAACATTTCGGGCCAAAGCAGCTACAGCTAAGGTGTAAAAAGTGGTGTCCGCAAAGCCTTCCAAAGCGGTTTGACAACATGAATGTAAGGTCATGCATGATTTTGGTCCGAGTGCCTGAAAACTGCCTTGCAAAACTCTGCACCACCAGTCTGAGTCATTTTTTGGACTCTACGAATCTTCCACAGAATTGATCACGGCGATGTACCTGGTCGAGCTGCTTACGCAAGCAATCAAACATGACTGTGTACGTATCTTAACTTGCAATCTCAACAATGTGTTGATAAGTGATAAGTGTCATCATTTGTAATTCAATGTAATTCATGTTTTTCATTCTCATCATTCCCATTCTCTTGTTGTTGGATCCGGCCGCGCACGCCGCCAAGATCGACTTCTGCTCAGGATCGAGAGGGCTGGACGGCGAGGTCGCCTTGCGCCGGAGCAGCTGATCAAAGGAATGCCGCAGCCTCGGGCGGGTCTTGACAACCATGAAGGCGAAGGAACAAAACGAAGGACACCATCTCCACAGGCAAAGAGAAGAAGGAAATGAAAGCCCCAAAAGCACACCCCGGCAAGCAAACACTTGAGACTTGAGACCTCGACTTGTTTGCTGTTGCTGGTAAATCGGAACATCACTTTAGAAGCTGATCCCGAGTCCAGAATAGATCAGAATAGTGCATAGCTCGACATGGCATTCATCATAGCTAGCGGGATGTTGACAGGATGCTTGTATCTGAACCAGCATCAGATTCACTACAACTGGTGACTCTGAACTGACAAAGTTTCCCTGCAACGATACTTTGGAGGAATTCACATCGTTTTTGCTGATTTCAGAGCTGTGCATGGTCATAACTGGGGCCCACTGCTGCCGCAGCAGCGCAGCAATCCGGGGAGCTACATTCACAGTGTGCCAATGTTTCTCACTGCCTGCCAGAAACAGGCCGCTCTGCCCCCCAACCTAATGGCGATGGCCTCCAACCTAATAGCGATGGCCTCCAACCTAGAAGCGATGGCCTCCAACCTAGAAGCGATGGCCTCCAACCTACTAATAGCGATGGCCTCCAGAAACAGACCGAACACGGAAGTTGTTTAGATGCAGTGGGTGTTGCAATATGTTGCAATGTATATAGGTGTTTACCGAAACTGTGTTGATGTCAAGACGTCACACGTCGCACTGTCACACCATGTTATAATCGCTTGCAGCTGGACCCCCTGTACACACGGCTATAAAGAAGGCACCCTACGTTTGACATGGCCATGTCGGATCGCCCATCTCTGCACCCCACGCGGCACACCGTGGCACATCGGCAAGGGTGAAAAGGCCAAATCTAAAGCTAAACACATCCTGTCCAGCTGGACCTAGTCTGTGCTCGTGCAATGATGAAGATTCAGGAGAGACTAAACCCGAGACCCCAAACAAATGTCAGAATGACCATGACTCCTTGGCTGGGGTCCCAAAGATCCTTGCAGTTTAAAGCAGACGCCACACCGCATCTGCTTATATAGATTAGAGTCATTGATTAGAGCAATAGCACAGCATGTCCCAATAGACTTGATTCTCCTCTCATTAGCTGTGACAATGAGTTTGGGGTATATCGCGATTGCCAGGGTTTGAACAGTTCAATCTGAGGTCAACGACCCGTGAATTGAATGATCCACCAACCATCCAAACATCTATTAGGCTGCAGAAACCACTCTTATGATGGCTGGAAGCTTCATATATTGTATTGGTTCCTGGTTGAGAAGTGATGCTCACCGCCTCTTTTTGAGTTCGAAAAAAAAAAAATATATCTCCTGAAATTGAGGGGTTGGTGTCTCTGTCCACCTGAGTTCACCCAAGTCCACCCTGATCCACCTGTCCCAATGGAGACGCTCTTCTCCCATGGGTGGATGCCTGGGCTGAAAGAGGCAATGCTGTGAGGTCTCTGGGGAGAGGAAAACCACCCCACAGTCTACTGGTCCACCCCTTTCGAGTGATTCAAGTGAGATAGTCATAGTCGGCCTGCCCAAAGATGAATTGGTGGCTCTCCGTGGCTATGTGGCTTCCCTGTCGGGAAGCTTGGTCTTGGGATGATTGCAACTGTTTTTAGGCAGCAATCATCCCAAGTACTCCCAAAGAGGCTTTGCATGCATTAATCGGGTGAAAAGCCACATGAGAAAGGCCCACATGATTGATCATGTTTGCACTTGTCAAAAACATCGAGCAAGGAGGCCTTGATCAAGAATAGATATTGATCCTGCACCGCAAACGGATGAGAAGTACAGTACCCAGTCCTCTGGACCTGGAAGGCCCCACCTTCACCTCCCAAGCGCTTCTCGAAAAGCCGTGTGCCCGGCTCAGGCTATTGGCTTCGCCCCCGAAGAGCAACAAGGCCTCGGATGAGCTTGGGGAAAAAAGAACAGGAAAAAGAGCTTGCTTGCTTTGCGTTTCGAATTGGTCATCCATCATGGCTACATACGATATGTATGATATGATCTATGTTCAAATACGAAGAAATCAGCTGCAAATGTGTAGCATCAGCAGCTACTCCGGGAGTAGCGCATGATCTATACGAACCTCAGATAATCCATGATCCACTCCACTGAGCGTGATGGCGTTTGGAGGCAAGAAGGAGCTATCTCTCAAGAAGACCTCCGTCGCATTTTGAATTGACAAAATAGCGGAAAGAACAAAATGGGCAGTCACTAAAGCTGGGCAATCCAACAAAACGTCAAGAACACTGGAGGAGGTTGTGTCACATATCACAGCATCTGTAGGCTTAGCAAGGCGTCCTTTTTAAGCAACGCTTTGGCCGGACAAAAACCATCACACCATGACGATACCTGTGTTTTCGGATCCGGACCATGTCCGCCGCTGTGAATGGAGCAAACCCCCTGGTACGGCCTGTGAAGTCTTCATCTTGGTGTGATAGCAAATCCATCGATGGTTGGTGCGATGCCTCTGAACAATCACCAAGCAAAGGCTCACAGTCTTGCTGGATGCCCACTACTGAAGGCAGTGAAGGCACCAATCATACCAGTTCCTAGGCCTTTGGTTCAATGAAGGTTAAAGCCTAATGATGATAAAACTGATAAGGCAGGTTGTGCTCAATGCTGAGGAAGTCATTCACGAAGGGAATGTAGTTAGATGCAATATATAACCAAATATGACGAATATTATCCGACTATTGGGGGAATGTCCACACTTAGCTGCTCATCACCAACTGTGAGATATTCGAGCTCATGACTTAACCCTCTGACCCTCCGTCTTTTTGAAAGAAGAAGGGTCGTCAGCAGAGTTGACTTGGCAAGTAGTACAAGAGAGAGAGAGAGAGAGAGAATATGGCTCATATGCAAAGAGCAAACAACGCATCTTTCTAGGTCTTGGACAGCCCTTCAATCTTCCCATGGCCTCAATGAAGACTCTTCTCAATTACATTCTCAATCCATCCAAAAGGTGCTGTCATTTGCTTCGAGCTCACATGGCATCAGCAAACATATCAGAAACGTTGATACTGATACCATTTGACACCTGCAGTGTGCTTGAATGTGTGTGTGTTTTGAATAGCATTGCTGCGTTCACATACACGCCAGCACTGCGTTCACATACAGTCTCACTGGCCCAGTCACTTGATGAAGAGCTGCTGTTGGAGCTGAAGGTTCTGCTGCTCTTACTTTGGTTCTACTTGAAATACCCATGTTGGGAGTGAGAAAATATGGCATCGTAGTATGAAATGTGAGCCTATGCCCGGCCAAACCCCGAGGCCAATACACAGCGAGCCAGGATGCAGCTTCAACCTGACTGTGTACCAAAACAGCTCAACATGGCTCCAACAAATCCAGCAAACTGCCTCCAGAGTCTCCAGGTCAAAGGTCAAAGGTTTAGTCGCTGAACGGGCAGTTGTACAAGGCTGCAAACTCTACTCCAAGCTTGTGGCTCAAACTGCAATGGGAACCACACATCAATACAGCGCTTAGTCCACAGATTCATGGACTTGAAAAAGTTTCGGGTCATAACAATAGACCAAACCCCGAAACATGTGACATGTGTATATATATATATATCGGGTATAAAGACCTACTAGTAGGTTGTGAGCGAGATGTCTACACGATGCCATGTTCTCGAATGCAAGGCACGGAGACTTCTCAGGGCCACACTGTTCTGAGCCAGCCGAAAGGAGGGGGAACTTCTCCGTGGCCGACTGGAGCGGTTCCACCCAAAACTTCACGTCTAGGGCCAACGTTTCTGAGTCTAGGCAAGCTGCGACAGTCGCATTGAAAACAAACCAAAAAGGAGAAATCACTAGGAGATCCAAACACATTTCCAAACGGTGGCACACATGTCCCAAAGTGCAATGTCTTGCTTGATTCTCCGAATGTATGGCCACGTGAGGTCGTTTTGAAGATTGTACGTGGAGCACGGTCGCCTGCAGTATCTGTGTTTGTGGTATTCAAGTTCGCACGGTCTTTCTGTCTCTAATCCTACAAAGAACACTTACATACTTGCCTTACACTTGTTCATAGAGGCTCCTAATTCCCAATAAATTGAAACCGATTCACTGTTCTATCCACTTTGGGGGCCACTTACACTTCCAAATGTTGTTGAAGACAACCCTTTTGCAGCAGAAGAACTCTCCTCTTGCCTTCGGCACATCTATTCTGGCCACATTGGGATAGAGCCCGGCAAGCAGCAGGGCAGTCACAGTGTGGACAGAACTCAAGTCCTCCACACTCCAAACACTACGTGGCTTCACATATGGTTTGCAATGCAAGAACATCATGGAACACCTATCCTAGGTTGATAATGGTTGACATACCTCTATGCGGAGGACTTCTGCGCGAAGCTTGGGGAATAAGATGGGCAGCCTCTCTCCACCTTGAGCACCGATCTTCTGGCATCTTGTGGCACTTTCTCAAGGTACAGTAGCAGCTGACAAGTTTCGACCCAAAGTGCTTGCATGTGCTTCCTCCGACCTTTTTTGATGGTTCGATGCTTTTTCCAAAGCAGATCATCTCATGCGCTTCCCCAACCGTCCTGCTTGGGAATCTCGCTGGACGAGAAGGTCTCTACAAAGCCTTCACCTACAGGTCGAGCGTAGCGGCTGAGGGAAGTGTCGATGCGACGGACGTGATCAAAACAAAGTGATTGCAATGTTCACAGCATACTTAGCATTCATCACTAGTGGTTTCGCAATCATCATGCCAAATGCCAAATCATTGTCCTTCTCCCTTTCTCCTACTCTGGCTCCTCTTGTTGTGTCCATCGCCTCTCCTTCCCTTCTTTCATCTTATACAGTACAACCAGCCTCGCAGGGACTCTAAGAAGTCGTTGCCTTGGGCTGTTGGTGCTGTCAGAAAGACTGGGTTTTGGAGGTTTTTTGGTATTGGTCAGGTGCCAAGTGAGAAGGTGGTGAAACCTTGGAATAGGTGACCTGAAAAATTGATGCGAGTCCACCAACCACAAATCTAGAGCCGGCTGGCTCCTCCAAACGTTGAGGGCAAACACTGATTGCTTCAACATCCTCCATGTGGCTCATAGATTCACCCACACACTGAGATTTGTGCTTCGTCAAGGAAAAGCATCTGCTATACTACCAAGCGTTTTGTGCAGCAAGCGTTACTATTACCCCACCTTGACTAGCAACTTGAGCAACAGCACAAAGTCACTCAACTACAAGACGAAGAATGCACAACTTCCTGCTGCCAATGAATCATTACATTCAGACGGGCGACGTATGTCCCGGATGGTCTGAAGCACCTCCCACAGTCGCACAAAAAAAGAGTCCACCGGCAGCTAGAAGGCCCAAAATTGTACAAACTATTGATATGCTCGAATGGTCCCGCTGTGTTCTGCTGACTTGGTGTCATGTCAACCTTCTCGAGCATGTCAACAAAAGTGCGATTTCGAAGAGCGTCCATGCTCATCCAACCTAAATCTGTTGGTTGCAAGATTCTGATGGGAAGCTAGAATCTCACAACAAAGGCTCTGCCAAAAGCCGGTTGAGAAGCCAGAACCGGCCGAAGGTCTAGCTCATACACTCTCTGGCCTGGTTGTTCAGCCAGCTCTTTTTGCAGAAGCTCTCTGCAACCTCAGGTGCTGAGATGCAAGGAATAAGTCCATTCATGTCCATTCATCCCTATATGCGTTCATTCACGCGTTCTTCTTTCTTTGGCAACTGGCAACCGGATCAAAAGTGTTATCTTTGGAGCTGAGATTCCACTTGAAAGCTCGCCGCTCAGACGAATAGGACTCCTACCACTTGGATCCACTTGGATCTCCTCGAACGGACTATTTCTCGACTCGTTCAGACGAAGGTTCCGAGAATTGGCGCCGGCTGCCGGCGCCTCAGCAAACCCTTTGGGTTCGTTTGGGGCCGACGGCCGATGAAAACGGTCAGCCACCGCCGTACAATTAGGTCGTCTAGGCCGGCGCTCACCAGCCAAGGCAAAGATATGAGATCCGCACAATTCAGAAAAGGCGTGGAAAAAGGGAAAACACAGAATAGTCCAAACACCAACCGATACAAACCAACGTACTTTGTGTCTTCTCCTCGCCTCTCATCCCGGTGCGGCGCTCACAACGACGAGAGCCACTTGGAGCCAAAGTCCGCCACCAAGAGCTGAGCTCGCGGGTCCAGAAAAGCCTCAAAGGCACACCCAACTCCTCAAACAGGATGCTGCTTTATTAGCCCGCTCCTCTCTCCAAGGTTACTCCATATATGTGTATATATGGTGTTTTTATTTGGGGGGAGGCCGCTAGGAGGTAGGTGAGGTAGCTAGGTGGAGGTTGGCTAGTAGAAGCTAGGTAGCTAGTAGCTACAAGTAAGCTACTACGTATGGATGCAGGATAGCTCACGCACTAGTCATTTGGCTCCTAGAGTTTTAGGGAAACTTGAGCTCGGGGTAGGCCGCGGATAGAGGAAGAGGTAGCTACTAGCTACTGGTAAGCTACTACATACTGGACGCAGGATAGCTCATGCACTAATTGTTTGGTTCCTAGATTTTTCTGCCCCATCAAAGGCAAGCCAAATGGGTTTGCTGGAGCCGATTCCTGACTCAACTGTGCAGAGGAGCTAGGGAGTTGTAGTACCTTATCGACAGAGTCTGAAGCACTCCCTCGGTTTGAGGCTTGAGGACCCGTGCCAAATCCTTGGGGTCAAGGTTGATGAAAACCTTTGCCTTCGGTTCCATTCGTCGCACCCACTACCCATTGGTCAGGCATGTCCCTTTGATGTGATGCCAGGGTTGAAGCAGATTGCCCTTCAGCGGGCCTATGAGAACACTGCACTCACAGTGTGCAAAGATTTCGTCAAACCCAAGGGCCTGATTGACATGCATGCCTCCACAATCTTTTCCCGGAAACCAACTTTCCAAACACCCGGCTTTCCAACCGCAACCGCGCACTTCAGTCATTGTTGGTTGCTCCCTATCTAGAGACAGATTGCATGCTGCTGGGCTCTGCGAGTCCCCCAGCTGTCGTTTTTGTGGGTGCTCCAAAGAAACCATGCATCGCTTGGTTTATTCTTGCCAACATTATCACGCCATTGCGGGGCAGCCGCACTTGCGCGATTTAGGTGAGAATTTTGCCCAACTAGGCCATGTAGAACACCCTATCGGTTGTCGCAGTTTCGCCTGTTGCATGCCTTCCCGACTGAGGCAGATGCAGCCCTGTTTGAACCAGCTCTCCCGCGCACTGAGCTCTGGACTGACGGATCGGTTTTAGGCAAGCAGTGTTTCTGGACTACCACAGCGGCATATGCCGTAGTTGACAAGCACGGGACAGTCTTGTGGACAGGCGCAGGCAGAGTACGTCGTTGGGCCCTTTCCAGCTATGCGGCGGAACTATGGGCGATATGGGTCGCTTTTCGGCCTCCTCAGGACCAGTATATCTATTTATTGTGACAACAAATCAGTTGTTGATTGTTGCAACTTGTTGATCCAAAAGGGATTCGCCAGTGACCAGTGGAGGTGTTCGGACTGGTGGAAAGCCATCGCGGACCTGCACGAACAAAGAAAGCTGCAACACATCCAGCCTTTGAGGATACAGTGGATTTTAGCTCATGTTTGTGAAAATGTTTCAGCGCCTTTGCTCGATCCAGCAGCACTGCACAAGTTGGGTACGACAGTACAGCATGTCTTGAGGAACCGTGACGCTGATCGTGCCGCGAAACAGACAGCTCGGTCCATCTCACCCATCCGACCAGATATGATCCCCGTCATGCATGCGGCAACCGCACTGCACCACGAATGGCTTGTCAAACTGCACTGCCAGTTGACCGTTCAGATTGATGAGGATTTCAAGGAGTCCAACGAAAGACAAAATACCCCACAAGAGATCACGGTTGACCAGGCGCGTGCTTTGTACCCAACTTGGCCTTGGCAATCATGCATTGCTCATTTCGGCTGGAAGCCTAAAATCCCTCAAGGGATTCCCCCACCCAAACGGTGGAAACACCATCCCGAAGACTGGCACAATATTTGCAAGTTTTTGCGCTCCCTGCAATGGAGAGAACAGAAAGGGCAGGCGGTCGCATTTTGTGAGTTGGCCACAGCGGAGGCTATACACTCAAAGGTGAGGACGACTTGCCTACAATCCACTCCACTGTTTGCCGCATCCGGCAAGCTGTACAGGTTCTTTTGAAAAATGACAGATCACAGCCTTGTCCAGGCTTCTTTTCAGCCACCTATGTCAAGAGCTGTGGGCGCGTGTTGCCGCAAAGCGTAATTGTCGACGCCTTTCCGTTCTTTGCCAACAGTACGTTGCATGCTTTAGCTCGAACATTGTCAAGTGGGCCAGGCCGTACGATTGAGTCGTGGCGTGCGCCATTTCTATTTTGAGTGTGCTTGCTGCCTTTCCGGTCAATGCATCGGGGAATCTTGCATGTTGGGACCAGAGTGTCCTGCATGCCATCGTCGCGCTCAGATCGTCCGATGAGTGAGGTATATAATATATATATATATATGTAATACTATTGTTATATAATGTCGAATTATAATCTGAATTGGACCATCCCTGTCACTTTCAAGAGAGCCTGCCTTGAATCAAAACCAAAACACCAATGTCTACTAGGGACACAACTAGTTACCCATCGTGCTCGCCCACCAAAAGAGCGGTGTGAAGAATTGTGGCATGGATTCAAGCACCGGTCACCAGCTCCTTCCATGTCAAGAGACTGGTCCACTCGGTCACGATCAGACTTGGGGACACCTTGTCCGTCCGCTCTTTTCGACATCCAGTACTGGAAATCTTGTTCGGTGTCAGCCTGAGAAGGCTGAACGGTTTCACCAATGCGGTCTTCGACAGTTTCCCCGACAAGCGCCTGGTTCACTGACAAGTCCCACCAATCAGCCCATGCTCAAAGACTCCAAAGTTATCGCAACATAAGTGTCAAACTAATTGGAACCCACCCTACTAGCGATGGCCTCCAACTCCAACCTAAGGGCGATGGCCTCCCCATTGAAAGTGAGTGCGCAAAATACAGATCTACGATGATCTAGGGGGCCCCTAGGAGAACAGCCCACAGATGCAAAAGCCAATACATCGATCCAGCTCTGGGACGTTTACATGTCTGCATGACTTGCAAGCAATGCAAGTCATGTCGTCCATTCTGCCTTTTCAACATACCACAATCTCCAAACCTTCTTCGCAGCTGAAGCAGTCACCCAATTCTCAACACCAGTCTCTTGCCCGTCGAAATCACCTTACCCAATGTCAAAACTCTCCCTTCAAAGTAGTTGATTTGTTGTCATTTCTTCACCACCCTTCCATTCACAGAAAAGTGTCTGGCACTGCCCCGCTTGACAGGAGCTAGTCTGAGGGCATATGCCACCTAAGGGATCCGAGAGCTTTCGACGGATTTTCGCTTCCAAAAATGAATTACAGGTGGTGAGTTCGAACAGATCATGTGCAGCACCACCACGTTCGGATCAGGAAGAATATGGAAGAAGGACTAACTATATAAGGTGCTCTCTGAACAAACCGCAACCACCAAGAATGCCGAAAGCTCTGGCACAACAAAAAAGTAGAAAATAACCGCCTGGTTGGAGCCTTTTCTACATGTTATAAGACCAGTCATGCCATGCAAACATCCATAGTCCATAGATGTCCATAGTCATAGTCTCTGTTGAGCAGGAAAGCTGCAAGATCGTTTGCACTGCGCCAAGACAGCTTGCCTCAGCAAACTACATTGATGGAATTCACAAGTACGCAAACATGCACAGAGCAATTGCATTGAATTCTTATCCTCCACTGGTCGACCCAAAGGAAAACATGAAGTGGGATGCCAAGCCCGCGGGCTGCGTCTGTACCTTCGCAGACCACCAATCAACAGGCGTTCTGCTGCTGCGTCACTGGCCAGCGGCGGAATAGCCCCAATCCTCCATTGCTCCGTAGCAGTTGTCACCAACCTCGCTTTGGAATGGTCGACGATACAGTAATCTTCCGGCCGAGGTTCTCAGTTCAATCATGGACCTCTTTCAGCCAAGGCCATGGAATTGAGTGGAAAATTAAGTCCGAAAAGTCCATTCTATCAAGAAGTTCCTGCCCTCTAGGGCTAGGAGGCCATCGCTATTGGGTTGGAGGCCATGCCTAGCAGGTTGGAGGCCATCTCTAGACCTTGCGAAATGCTAAACCTTGCTATCTTGCCGAGGTATCAGAGTCTCAACGTATCCCGGTTGCGGCCGCAATGTGTCCAACTTGGGGCTGTCATTGGCACTGACAAAACTGGGGTTTCCTCCTTTCCAAGGAGAAGCTGGAACATCTTCGCTTCTAATCACCAAACTTCAACAAACATTTGGTGTACTGCATGAGTGCGTGGACTCTCAATTTTGATTTGAAGGATGGGAACTCGCGTGCTTTCAGGTGGCCCAGGTGTCACAGAAGTAGCCCTTCTCGTCCAGCCAGTCCTGACTTTGCAAAAGGGCCACATCAAATGTTGGACAAGTTGACTTGGCATCTTGCAGAAGCTACACATCCAATGCGGATGAGGTGGCCAGCCAGCCAGGTGTTTTTTCGGTTTTTCGGTCCGAGTGTGCGGACAAACATCTCACCATCACTGGGGATCAGGGAGAGAGTGTCACCCTCGGCTCTTGCATCTGCCATCGCATCTGCCCCGACGGCTATAATCAAGCAACGCAATACACGGGCAGAGGGCATTCTGGAAACCCCAAACGGCGGCGCTATGTCAACTGTAAACTCTGGTGAAGTCTACTGGTAGAAGTCTAGGTGGCATCTGTCGGAGTTCTCAAGTGACCAACTCTGGCATGAACAAGTGCCCTCGCTCCACCTTGGTTTCTGCACTCTGCCCCCTTAGTAGCCCCGGCTCCTCATTGTCTTGGCAAGCAGGATCTGCACATTCGCAAGTGGACGGGAGAGAAGAAAAAGTCAAGGCCGAGCCTGGCTGTTGGTGACCAAGTTTCCTGAAAGTGTCACACCTTACATAGTTCGAGGCTACTGAGGCTACAAAAAGAATGGCCAGAAATGCCGTTACCGACCAGGAAGTGGTCAATATTGCCAAGGTTCAACCAAGGCTAATTTGGGTTACCATCTCTCCAACACAGTGTAGTGCATGGCATGTCGGGTATCCTTTCCGGTGTACGTTCCCACGGTCTGTGACGTCGTCCATCCAAACACAGCCAGGCGCGACAGATCGATGCTGGCCCCACAGCAGCTCGCAGCTTCTCGAGACGACAGTCATTCAGATCCAGCTGGCGACATTGCTTGGTCAGATCTGAGACTTTGCAGACCTCACAAACAGTTCTGATCATCTTTTTTGGGGTAGGTAGGAAGGTAGGTAGCCGTCAAGGGTAGGTCAGGAAGGTCAGGTAGCTAAGTTTTGAGTAGGATAGGAAGTTACTACCTTCATGGACACCCGGCAGAAGCGAGGATTCTTCTCCTTGAGAAGCTTCCGGCAGAAGCTTCCTGGACAAACCCTCGCTGTACAGCGACGGTTCCTTGCTGCTAAGGGAAGCTAGCAATGATAGGAGCTGGGAAAGGATATTTAGGGAAACGGTGGGCGTGGGAGCAAGAAAACTGAGGTGTCTCGTCAGACTTGTCAAAACAAAACATCCCTAGATTATGTGAAATTTTATAGATTACATTGGTTAGATTCGGTTGGATTGATACTGATACTGATATTGTCATATGCAGGAGGCGCATTGTGGTGCGCCAAGAATTCTGAAAGGTGTCCTTTCACAGGAACACTCAATGGCATTTGTAATGGAGTTCCATGTGCACGGGGTAAAGCTGGCTCTTTTCCGTGTGCATGGGCATCAGAGTAGCTCAACTGCTTGGAGCACGAAAATGAGTCCAGTTGACAACCTCAAGGGTGGTGCAAATTGTCTTGTTTTAAGATGTAAACCTCAACATTAGCCTCGAGAGAGAGAGAGAGAGCAACTCTGGTTCGCTGGCGAAATCAGCTTGTTGGTGGGATTTGATTGGCATTGGAACAAATCCAAAGCAGGAGTGGCAGACTTATGTTGGCTGGCGAGCCTGGGTGTGCATGGAGAAAAGTTAAAGGGGGGAAACTGCGAAGAAGAGTGGTTGGTCTTAGCAGCAGTGTAATTACACCCTGTATGTTTCTTCATTTGCCCAAGCCCTCATTCCCAACTAAACTTGCAGCTTTATTTTGCCCAGATACAAAGTTGTCATAATAGTCTTGTGACCTGGGCAGTTTGAAAGTCATGCCGTTGGAGAATGGATGTTAAGTTTAGATGTTCGAAGCGTCGCAATGATCCAACATTCGTTGGTTGTTCGCTTCAAGTGCCAAGATGTCCGCATGTATGGAGTTTGTGGGAGCACTACCAAGTTCACAACGTATTGCAACAAATGGTGAGCAACGTGAAACAAAAACAACCATTAAATCACGTGTAGTGCCTAGTGCTCTTCGTGGAATGGCTATAACTTATTAACTATGCTTCGGACCCCAAATCAACCATTCTTCTTGATGGTAGGTTTTGTGCGGGGAAAACATGCTAAAACTCAGCTGGCCTTAAGTACAAACACATCGGATCAGGATAGACCGGGATAGATCAGACTCGGCTCTCCTCGTCTCTTTCAAACCGCTCACTCAAATCTCTCGTTTAGACATGTTTAAACTGGAAGTCATACCATTCACTCGGCCTACTGCTTAAGGAACATGTTGTCAAACCGCAGAGCCATATTAAGCCTTATGGTTTCTTCCACTTGGCCATGAGAGAGAGTCTAGCTACAAACAATGCTTGGAGAAGATCCCAATGTATGCGGGTGATCAGTGAAACTTCCGGCACCACATCTGTTCTCTGCTCCAGTCGATCTAATTTCCTTGCCAAAGAAGGTGCTCCATAGTCGCAGGATCAACCATGACGTTCAAATCAAAGCAGCTGACGCCCAATAGCCCTGCAGCACAGGATGACAGGATCACGGGAGAATGGGTGGTGAATGTTCATAGCGTCGTTGCTACTAGTAGCTTCTTGTTACTAGTAGCGATGGCCTCCAACCTACTTGCGATGGCCTCCCCCTAATAGCGTCCTTTATGTGCGGAACATGTCTGCTCCAGGGCACATGCCCAAGTACGCTGGCTGTCGACTGTTAAAACCGACTGCACTGCAGTGGCCAACAAAAGGGGGGCAATTGTCGAACCAGAAAGTTGCAAATATCGAAATCGAATCGATAAACCGATTCTCAGAATCTCCAACTTGGAGACTTGGATGTCAGACATGGAGACTGGGAGATGTTTTTAATCATGCTTTGTCAGTTTGATTCCCCTCCATCCATGTCTCTTGCGCTTGTGCCTTTCTCCGAAGATCGGTCGTAGGCAGGCAAACAAGCAGGCCACAGCTCCGCATCGGTGACCGCATCCTACGGATGGGGCATCTGCACCGGAAACAGTGGCAACAAATGTCAACTACTAACTTCTTGTTACTA